AGTATCCTTATTTAAGCTTTACACAAGTGTAAGCATGTATAATGCACTCATATTTGCTATGTTATCATAGTCGCAATCTATGTTTTTATATTTTACAATCTTGTAGTACACATATGACAACGCCAAACAAAATTTTTACTAACATAAGACACACTCAAATCACTGATTAATTTAGTCAATTCACTATTAATAATGTTTTTTTTAATTTATTAAAAAATTTTCCTACAAGTCTCCATGCATTCTGGCGATCTTCGCGAGGGACAATTTCTCTCATTCGACGGTGCCACCTGACATAGGTGCATAGCATAAATAGCATAGCGAGTACGGACCGAGCATGCAGCGGAAAAACATTACGTGACTTGGTATCCAACTTCAAAAATGATCGACTCGTATACTTTTAGTACTTACGAAGTTGTCGTACCTTATTCCGATTTTGGAAGATGCAAGTCCTGAATAGCTTAGTTGGTTAAGGAGGTTTGGAAGAAAAGTTAAAAATGGAGACATGTGCCAAAAAAAATTTATGTTATATTTGAGCACGTTAGGAGTGCACTTGAATTTTTTTAGATTTTTCACCACGGAAAATTTTCCAGAAAAAAATTATGAAATATTGACAGTTTAACACGATCTCTTATGAAAGAACGAGGTTAGGTTTGCCTTTTAATTGAAATTGAGGTATATTCTAAATGTGTTGGAAAAAAAAACGTTTTCATAGATACGTTAGTACAAAAGAAAATTCTCAAGAAAAATCATGACTAACCAGGCATTTTTTAAAAATATAATCAATTACAGTCGTAAAGTTTCAAGTTTGTATTAGGAGGAGGTGCACGGTAAAAGGGGCCCAGATGCGCAGGCAAGAAGGACTCCTCGTTCCTCGCCTCTCTGAATGAAACTCCCAAACTTCCTTAATAGTTTCGTTGACGTGAAACATTGGTACAACTTGATATCTTCAGGACTGGAATATTATTTATATATTTTTTATTCCCAATATTTGTAAGTATAGAATTTCTTTTAAATCGAATTTCGGATAGAAAATCTCTCTAAAAGACATAAATATTAATTACAACGTATATTTGCAATATCTTATTCAAATCTATAGTAAAAATTCATTGATTATTTTTTTTATCANACTATATAAGAATTAAATTTTTACAAAATAAAATTTCGGATGGGAAACCTCTCTAGAAAAAAGCATACATATTAACGCTTATTTGCAATATCTTTTTCAAGAACCAGGCGCAAATTTTTTTTTTTATTTGAGAAATTAGGAGGGGGGAAGCCGAGTGTGTGCCTACGGATTCGCGCAGAAATGGGCATGTAGGCACATGCTTTGGAGACGAATAGAAGGGGAATACTGAATATGTGCCTATACCGTTTTTGAGTTATCAGCGTTCTTCGTCTCAATTTGCCAAAAAACGTTATCTTCGCAAGAATCGCAACACTCACAGCATTTTTGGTATTTTCCCGTAATCAGCAGGGTCGATTACGTAACATACCAAAATGGCATTACGGCATTTTCTGGGCGATTTCAGAACTTCTTTTATCAGTCTATAGCTTACTAACCCCGGGTTTTGCAACTGCCCGAGTAGAAATTGAAAGTGGGCGAAAACTGGGCCAAAGCTTGGCTGCCATGCCGGCCACCTTGGCCGCAGCTTGGCATCTGACTTGGACTCCACCGTATTACAGTAGCGCTCGCCAACAACTTACCGACACCTTAAACATGGTCGACGCAAGATAACGTAAGACAATTAAGTTGTCAGTAAGATGTTGGAGAGCGTTACTGGAAGACACCCCCAGTGGGTTTGTAATACGGCACTGACTAGGTGCAGCTTGGCCTGACTTTCGCCCACCTGAACAGAAATAAAAGTCGGTTGCCTCTCTAGTTCGTGAGGTCCTACTTAGGCAGCCTACTGAGGGCACAAGTTCAAGTAGGCGCATCAAGGGGCGTGCGTGAGGCAGTGTTTCTAACAACCAAGAGTTCTCCCGCATGCGCACAACGGTTTTACTCTCTCTCCAACCAAGCTAGCAGTGGAGGGAGAGCTCCCCCTACCTTTACCTTTAACCCAAGCTCCCCTCGCTCTAACACCTTAAATATAATCTTATATCTTAGAGGGGTATGCTCGACGTTGGTCGAGCGGGCTACGTCTTTTGCCCGCGTATAGAATCTGACCAATATGCCATCGATCCTTCATCAATGCATTTTTTTTTTTTTTTTTTTTTTTATCATTCATTCAAGCGTCATTTTTTAAAACAGTCATTTTATTTATTAAATACTTTTTCGAAAAGCATCACATTTTTTGTTAAAAAATAATCTTTAGATCCCTTTAAATTCGATTAATAATTCAAATAATGTAATGTTAAACAGGAAATATTTTTTGGTATGTTTATAATAATATTTTTGACTTGTTTATAAACTCTCTTTTCAAGTAAAAAAACTTTTTTATCATGTATTTACATGCTTCTGCAGCAAATAATATTTTTTCCATACCACCTTGCGGTAAGTATCTTGGTCTGTTGTTTTTTAAAGAAAAAATTAAATTCCGCAACAATACTTAGTTTTAAAAAAAACTAGATAATGTGACATAGAATTTAGTAAAATTCAATAAAAAATACCTTTCGCACTGTAATTATCTTTGCTGATTTATTTTTTCTTCAAATGGTTTCCTACGCCTAACTCCACTCGTAATCAATTTTTCATATAATAAATATTTTTATTACTAAAGGAGACTAGTTGAGAGTTTAATTATTTAAAAAGTTTTTCAGGTTACTATGAATGGTAAATATTGAAAAAAAAATAGCTATTCCAGTAGTGCTAAGCATAACTTTAAATCAATTTACTAAATAAATTTTACTAAATTCTATGTCACATTATTTAGTTTTTTTTTTAATTAAGTATTGTTGTGGAATTTTAATTTTTTCTTTAAAAAACAACAGACCAAGATACTTACCGCAAGGTGGTATGGAAAAAATATTATTTGCTGCAGAAGCATGTAAATACATGATAAAAAAGTTTTTTTACTTGAAAAGAGAGTTTATAAACAAGTCAAAAATATTATTATAAACATACCAAAAAATATTTCCTGTTTAACATTACATTATTTGAATTATTAATCGAATTTAAAGGGATCTAAAGATTATTTTTTAACAAAAAATGTGATGCTTTTCGAAAAAGTATTTAATAAATAAAATGACTGTTTTAAAAAATGACGCTTGAATGAATGATAAAAAAAAAAAAAAAAAAAAAAATGCATTGATGAAGGATCGATGGCATATTGGTCAGATTCTCTACGCGGGCAAAAGACGTAGTCCGCTCGACCAACGTCGAGCATATCCCTCTAAGATATAAGATTATATTTAAGGTGTTAGAGCGAGGGGAGCTTGGGTTAAAGGTAAAGGTAGGGGGAGCTCTCCCTCCACTGCTAGCTTGGTTGGAGAGAGAGTAAAACCGTTGTGCGCATGCGGGAGAACTCTTGGTTGTTAGAAACACTGGCGTGAGGTACTCATTAGGCAGCCTACATAACCTACCATTATCTTACTTCTCGAATAGTATATATAGTTGTATCAGCTACAGTTGCAGTGTAAATTGTAGCATAAAATTATACACAGGTACACAAGTTACAAGTGTCTTTCATTGAGTCTTATACAAATGATTAATGAGTATTCTTATACATATGAGACTAACAAAATGAATCGACGTTAAATTTGTTGTCAACTAAACAAAGTTTTCCAAATTACTGAATTAGAAATAATAATTGTTGCTTCAAAAAATATCAAAAAAACTATTTGAAAACCGTACTAAGATTATGAAATTTAACATATTCAACAGCTTGTACACTGTCATTTGCATGCCCAACGTCAAATCAAGTTCATCTGTCATTTGATTGAATCAATATGTTTTTGCATGAAAGAAAAGTAAACTGTAGTGTGAGCATTTAATTTGTATTAGATTCTTTGTTATTACTTGATAATTTCTCAGAATTAACTTACGAATTACGTGTTCATATTGTAAACTTGATATCAATTGTGAATGAGAGATATTTTTAAGGTGACATTTGTATCTTTATTTATATAAAATTTCTATTTATCTTAATTTTATATTTTTGTAACTACACGTGATCAACAATGCAGTTATGAAAAATTTTCATGACGAAATAAAATATCATCTGTTTGAAATGAAGCATGACTTTTGTTCAATTATAATACACTGTGTATTCTCATATGTACATATCTATATTTATCCATTGAAAGTTGGTTATGTTACGTCAATAGAGGCAGCCTACTTAGGGCCTACCAAACGCCACCTGACGCTGCCAACGTAGGACCTCAGTTGGCAAGAGAGGCAGCCTAAGTAGGCCCTACTGATCGCCTACTTACAATTTTCGTTCGGGCAGTCATCGCACTCATCGCCTTCGTCTTTCGTCTGCAGATCAGTAAAATACAGAGACATCTATATATAAGTAAAGAAATATAATATGATATGCGCGCTCGCAGCGCTCACATGAATATATAATATATACAAACTTGTATGCTTGTATATATCCAAATCAGTGCAGACAAAAATAGGCAATTACTGGACGAAAGTCATGCCAAAACAGTAAAAAATTTTTGTAATTTTATAACGCTGGACATTGGAAAAAGTCTGACATCACTATATATATAGATTTACTAGCCAATGCTGCATGTCGGATTTTTTCTAACGCTGGTAGTAAATTTACGAATCACTTTTCACAGTGAAGTCAGGCCAAGCTGCGCCCAAGTCAGCGCCATATTACAAACCCACCTGCGGCCAGGCTTGGTTGCTTTATTTGGACCATGCGTTTAAGCTGGGCTGTCCACTTACATTTCTACTCGGGTGATTATGCAACTGATGCAACCTCCCCACCGTTGGCCCTATATGGCAAGAGAGACAGATACCCAGGCTCGCTGTCGTGTCTCTTTCTATTCGTGCTTTAGCACCGTACACTAGATCGAGCAGTCTATATTTCTTACATGTCTACGTTACTGGCAGGCAGCGAGCACTTTTAGAGAAATTTAAAAACGGTTGTCAAATACGCAGAGTGAATTGGGTACGAACACATATTCATCCTCTGCACATAATAATTTTCTGAGACTAAATCTACTCAAGGCAATAAGATGATTTGCATCCTGGTAGAAAAAAAAAAAAAAATTTATGAGAGACTTAGAATCAACTTCTTCTGTAATACTTGGTATATTTAATGCTATAATACATTAACATTCAAGTACAATGGCTTTTGCTGCAGAACAACTACAGCCCCAGCAGCAACAACCAACCACCCTTGAGTTCTACCAGGCAATGTCAGATTTCAAGAATATGTTTCCTCAAATGGATGATGATGTCATAGAGGTCAGCAGTTTACATTAATCTAAGAACTTGCAATCATGTCATTTAAATCTTACTGAAAATGTATGTGTAAATTCTTTATGTATATACAAACGTCACTTGCACCCAATTTTTATTTTGTTATGTTTACATTTATATTACATCTCATCACAGAATTCAGACATTTTTCTGTAGCAGGTGACAATTTTTTTACTCCTAAACTAAAAAAAAAAAATTTTCCAAAATACTTTCATACAATCTTAAGAATTAATTTGCTGTGTTCTCACCTGCAGTTCTTCCTTCGTAGGTAGAAATCATTATTTTATAAAACGTATGTTTTTATGAACATTTTATGAGATTTTTTGAGACTGGATAAAAAAATATTGAAATTTTTTTTTCTTATTGCACTCTGTTAAGTATGACATAACCTTATCTTTGTACGGTGTGTATAATAATGATAAAATAAGTCTTCTTTTCGAATACGGATTTGAAAAAAAAAAGTATGTAATTTGTATTTAATTATTAGATTAGTTAAAAAAGAAATCGTTTTTCTGACGGAGATTTTGTTTTTTAGATTCTGAAAAACGTTCACGAATGTTTGCTTGTCCATATTTAAAATGTATCTTTAAATAACAACAGTACGAATTTTGGTACATAGAGTTTTATTAAAAAATATATTAGTACACAACTGAACCCTTTATAAAAAGACTGACGTACATTTTATCATTTAATGCAGTCAAGATACATTGATTTTTTATATCTTCAGGGTAACACAAAAATTTTTTCACGGTTAATCCAGCGTTCTTGAATGTGAATCAAATAAAAAATATTTAAGGCATTTTTTTGTTCAATTACTACAGGATGATAAAATATGATAATTTTTGTATCTTTAGTTCTTGTATGCATTGTCATTATCACTCCTTTGGCTGCAGAATTTGTTTCAATAAATGAATCGTTAATTTTCAAATTCTTTGTATACCGTAGCGTTGTGTATCTTCTATTCTTGTAAATCATCTAATCGTAACAAATACAAGTTCCGCTATAATTAAGTTCTTTTTTTTTAACTTTAAAACAGTGCGATATTCCCGGGCCAATTGCTGTTGCATTGTCTAGCTTCATAAAAGACGTAACTCGGTTTTCAAAGTTTTCAGTGAGTTCTAAAAATCTTGATCTTTTTGGAAATTGACTAGCAAATGTTGGAATGGATCTATAGAAAAAATAACGATTGGCAATTGGAACAGCTACCTCTGTTGGGCTTTTCTTTAAATGTAGTAATAGCCTTTTATCATTCTCAAAACAAAAAGCGTCGTAAGTATATATAATGGTCCAAGATTTCTGACACTTCGCGCTGTATGTAACAGTAAATGAGTGTTATAGGTCGTTTTATTTTTATGGAATAGTTTTTCCAACTAGTAACTTATTAGATTATATCACATCATCGTAGCTGATAGAATCTCTAAGTAAAATTTTAATACCAAAAACTAATTTTGATAAGTGATCGAAATATTTCTTTGGCAAAGTGCCACATCGACATATTAAACAATAGTACAAGAGCCAAGACCGCCACTCAGCAGTTCTCGAGGAAGCTCATTGATTCAATGATCTTGGAGTTCTTGTCACATGTTTAGGAGGTCTTATTGACAGAAGACGATTTTCAACTAAGTATGAATAAATTATTTGGATCTCCAACATAGAAGGGTTGTTAAAGATAGGTAAGTATTAATTCTGTGTACTGGTTTATAACGCCAAGAAACACACTATTTACAGCTTCATACTGCTGGGTTTTTACTGTTATTTGACTATAAATCTGTAGCATATCTTTAATAATTTTTTCATGAGTTCGTTTACATAAATATTCAAAATATCTTCTCCCTGGGCAGCCACTACACAAGTATTATATGTTATGATTATAACACCACAACTGAAAAGACAGACTACTAAAAATTGTAGGATTTTTTTTTTTTATTTAATACTAAGCTGAATTACTGTATAACCCCAACTTTTACTGTTGTAATTTATAAATGATTATTATTCATGGCTATAATAATTTTGAAAAAATTTTTGTTTTCTAATAGTTTTCGTCACAAAGGGGCTATTACCTTGGAGGATTTGCTGCGCAGGACCCTCGGGCTGCCAGATAGCCGCGGATAGATGGCACTTGTGTTTCGAAAACTATTAAAAAACAAAAAATTTTAAAGATATTTTGCCTTGTCTACGATAATCAGGTGAGATGTCAAGTGACTACCTCATGCTAAAAGCTCATCTGAGTTTTTGTAAAATGTATCCATAGTAAAAAAAAATTTTTGAAAACAATTTAATGATGTTCAAAGCTGCCCCGTTAAAATACCATTTGGATAGTACACAGAAAAACACATTTTTTAAAGTGTTTTCTTTCAATTTTTAAAAACAAAATAAATTTCTTGAATCCTCAGATGAATCCAAATATCTCAGGTGCTTCTTCAGATGAGATCTCACCTGAGAATTTGAAAAATTTATTTCATTTTCGAAAATTGACAAAACACTTTGAAATATGTGTATTTTGTGTTATAAAGCGTTAAGTGTTCTTAGGCCAATTAATACCATCGATGTATGTATGAGTGTATGACTTAGTCTGTGTGTGAGTGTGTGACCGCGCTGGAGTGAACTGTAGACTCTCTGCTGGTTGAGTATGGAATGTACAAGCAGTATTAAGTTGGTCGTAGTCGCGTGCACACGTATAATGGTCGTTTGTAATATGGTTTGAATAAATGCATCTATTGTTGGTATTACAAGCAAGTGTAAACCCATTTATTTATCCACAGCACAATTATATAAATATCATTTTTGATGTACCATCCAATTGTATCGTCAACTGGATAGCTTTAAATTCTGTAGAATTTATTTTTAATTTTTCCTATAGCTCAAGCGTTTTTTTGAGAGACTGCTCTCGGCCCTCGGTAGGAAAAATAGGGTTTTAAGCGCCCAATCCACATGAGCGCCCTCTTCCAATGAAAACTTTTTTTTAATAAGGATACTTTTTAAGAAATATCAGGTGAGAAGTAGTCATCTGAGATCTCAGGTCAATTGTAGACAGGGTTGGCTCTTTGACAGAAAAGTTTTTACGCCTTATCAGCTGACACTGACAAACTGGAAACGAAATTGCACTTTGCGCCCTTGGCAAGAAAAAAAATGTATGTGACTCGGGCACAAACAATATTCGCGCCCTTCGAGCGCTCGATCATGTTTGTACTTTGATTCCTATTGACGTAATGTACCATTTCTTGTGAAATAGTTATATATACACACAAAAATCTGCCAATAAATTTCTACTCAACCAATTTTGCTGAAATTTTGCAGACTGATTCTAGACACGTCATAGATGGTTTTAGTATAGTTTTTTTGTTATTAATTTGGATTAATTACGCAAAAAAGTAAGTTAGATTCTTACTTTAGTTCAGTAAAATCCGCTAGGTGGCCTAGAAGTAAAATCGAAGCTACCTGCAATAAAAGTGGGTGGGTCTGGTTTTATATCCCAGAGCGAATTTGTACATGCCATATTGGACGATAGACTTACATCGAATTTTACCCTGAACCACCAAGATGAAGGAGTGCCACGAATAAAAGGCATTCTGAACGTCAACGCCTCCGGCGTAATACCAGGAGACGTCTAGCCAGATCAAGGTCTAGCTGCTCTAACAATTTAGGGTTTTGTGGCCGTTCTTGCAACTGACTTAGTGCTACAAGAGCAGATTCTTCTACATTAGCAAGTCAGGGAAAATAACCTTGAGGTTTTTTTTTGAGTGGCTTTGCGCCTACGAGGAGAGGAGTGGAAATGTCGGCTTGGCTGAGCGTTTAGCTGAGCACACAGCCAAAGCAAGCGACGACACGAGTCTTTCTCTTTTGACTGCAACTAAGTATATGCTCTATATATTTAACTGACTTGCTCTCGCTCTTGCTTCAGTGTTATCTATCAATCTTATTTAATTAAATCATGGAACTAAATGCTCATGATTATATGCACATACTTTTGATTTCAATACATTATTTTTTAATCCTCCCGTACTTGTAACATTCCGAAATTTATTGATGTTTTTAAAAAATATGCAGCTTCAACTATTCTTTAAGGTTTTCAGTACAGCTTTAACCACTAGTTTATTAATTTTACACATTATAACTTCTTTGATTTGTAGGACAAGCTCCGGAGAATATCTGAACATAATTTATGCATTTTGAAACTCCTAAGAAATTATGAACATCCTATTTACGACAGAAAAAAGCTGGAGGCAGAAGTTGAGATTGGAGTACAATAATTAGTGCCTGTCTACTGCTATTTACTTAAAGTTAAAATTTTAATCAATAAATTTTGATACACCAAGTAGAAAATAGTTTTGTAAAAATTTTATAATTGTTTGCAAATCTTCAATAAGGTGTGCTACTACTATTATATTTTAGACTGCTAGAAAAATAACAATGAATGGAACAGTTCTCTTAATACGTAATTAAAATTATTCGGCAAGATTCTGAGACAAAACATTTTTCAATATACCGTAGTATTTTATTTTAAAAATATACCTAATTACCTTTTAGGATAAGTATTATATGAAAGCTATTTTTATGCTGCAGATTATTAAGGAAGTTTAATAATTTATATTTAATGCAGGAAAAGCATTGTAATACTTTTGACAATGATACCATCGAGTCAGGAAAGAGCCTTTTTGGATTTTTAGGCAGAAAAGAGTTTTTTAACTAAAAAGAAAAAAACTTTTCACACAGAGGTACACTAAGGTGTACTAAGCCGGCGTCGATAGGTACAACAAAGAAGACCGAGCCGGACAAAGTTGGTGTTCGACCCAACGAAACGTTTCTTATGATTGTTTATCGACATTTTGGGGTTTTTATTTGCTCCTCACCCAGCTTTCGGTTGGCCGTGTACTCTGTACAAATTCACACGTTTATTCTATACTGAAGAGCGAAACGAGAAGTTCAACAGAAAGACATATAAGCCTTTTTAACTAATTTTCTCACTTTTATTTTAAGGTGGTAAT